TAGAACCTGAAGATTTTTTGTGATTTGCTTGGCAGATATGATTTGTTTGCCAGTTCAGGTACCCTGGTTTGTTTTTTTTTCCTTTCCACATGGCACATCCTTTACAATATTTGGACAAAACTGCTGTGTCTAAACACTTTCCATTTTCTCTTGAGATTAAAGTTACAACACCGTTCATAGACGAATAACCACGCTTTTGCCATGTACCATCAACTGAGACCTGGCAATTTGTAATGCTATTGTTATCAAAAGTATTGGTAGCAAGTAAACTCTTTGTTTCTAAAGCTGCATTGCTCATGCTTTCTGAAGCTGCATCGTTATAAAAAGTATGTAATTTATTATTTATTAATTGATATCCAGGAAATGATAATGGTGTTGGCATGTTCATAATGTTAGCAAATGTACGGATTCCCTGATAACCTTGACCAATCTCACGAAAAGCTATAACCATTTGATAATTAATGCAGCTTACAGCTTTTCCTAAAGTAGGTTTATTTGTTTTCTGTGAGCTTTCAAATTCATATTTCCAGTCACAATTTGTGCAATTCAAACATAGAAGATAAGAAAATCCCTTTTTTTTTTTGAAATTGTTTGATAAAGTTACTGTTTTCTTACATTTAGGACAAAAAATAAATTTTACAAGCTCATTCTGAAGAATTGAAAAGTTTATTAAAATGTTATAATCATCGTTGTTACTAAATGAACTACTGCATTTTTTCTTTCTAAGTTTTCTTTCACTTGAACAAGGTTTTTCGATTTGCATGGTTTTATCATCAAGCTTGTTGTTTTTTGTGAATCTGTTACCTTTAAACTTCATCTTTTTCTTTGCTTTTAAAGACTTTGGCATTTTTAAAAACCAACTAATATACTTAATAAATGTTTTTATAATTCTAAATAAAATAAATAAATAAGGAACAGCACCAAACAATCAATAATTGTATTTGTAGTTAAGTGTCTACTTCACTTTAAAATTTGAAACTTGCAGTCGTGATTTAATGAAAATAATGTGATTTTAGCTAATGGAATTAAGACATTTTATCAAAAAAAAACTTATTTGTAAGATTCAATGCGACCCCCTGTTTAAAAACATGGATATATAACTAAATTTTTGGGCAAAACCAAATCTTGCTTGGCGTTGCTAAGGCGTTGCTAAGCGATTAAAATTATACCTGGTTTTTTAAAAACCTTATATCTCCTAATACTATTAAAAAAACATATCAAAGTTATACATATTTGAAACCAGCATTGAATTCTACATATATTGAAATAAAAATCCCAAAATCGTTTTTTTTATGATTTTAATGCTTTAGTACCACCTTAATATATAAATATTTTTGAATATATACTTCGCTTTGTATTGAATATGTATACGTATATGTACTGATTTGTAAAAAAAAATTCAAACTTTTTAATTTACGCATTGTATACATTTTTATTTTTTTTATTTCGAGATTTTATTATTATTATTATTATTTTTTTTTTTTCTTTCTAATTTTTACTTTTTTTAATTTTTAATTTATTTTAAACTTTTTAATTTTTTTCAATCTTTTTACTTTATTTCAAACTCTTTAAATTTTTTTATTTTTATTTTAATTTTGTTTGAATGCTTGTTTATTTTTTCAAAATTTTTAATTTAACTCTTTTTTATATTATTGGAATTTTAGAAATTTTATATTTCTCTATTTCACAAAAGGGCTTGATGATAAGACTTTATGTCTTCTACTTGCCCCTGTCAGCTTGTAATTATATATATATTTATTCGAATTTAAAGATAACATTGTAAAATGTGTAAAACGACAAAATAAACTAACTATACTACAAAAAACATGCAAATATATTCGAATATCAAGTATTCGAATAGTCAAGTTGGATGGTCTAATAAGAACGCATCCAGATATTGAAAATAATGCATTTGAAGGTACTGCTTTATTAATTTTGTTTTGGAATGCTGTGAATGTCAAAGCACCAGGTTTTTGCATTTGGTTTAAAATATATTGTAGAGATATTTCTACTAATGAAAAAGAACTGCTGGGTAATATACATGATCTTAAAAAATATAGTTAATAAATCTACATTAGTAGCTATTATTTACATAGTCGGCTATGTGCAAAAAAGCGAAATAAAAATTTATGATGTCACTACCAATTATTAAAATAAATATAGAAGTTATCTTAATATCCTAAACAGACGTGGATTTGAAATTTGTGCAGCCGTGGCGCAGCGGTTAGAGCGTTTGCTTTATTAGCATAAGATCCAGGTTCGAAACGAGCTTTAGGCATATTTTCGCGTCACGGTAAGGAAGGAGGCGTGAACTTTCTGGTTAAATGTACATCCGCGGTGCTCTGTGACAAGACCGTTAGGTCTTCTTGGGGCACCTAAATAACAATAAAAAAAAAAAAAAAAAAAAAATTTCTTCTGATACTCTTGTTTAATGGTCAATATTTTGCTTTTTATTTTGTCAAGGTGCTACTGGCCCTTGCAGAAAATTTTTTTTTGCTCAGTTTCAGTTCATAACAGTTAAATATAAATTTAAAACCACAAATAAAAACAGTGCAGAATATATTCTAATATTTTGCTAAAGAATTACGATCTAATTACCACTCCAAGCAGTAGCAAAGAATCTAAAACAAAAATACTAAAGCTATCATAGTTTGTGAGAATTAGCTTTGTAATTTATTATGCTATTTTTTGCCATGTTTTTTATTTCCTCTGTAAACATTATGTCTCTCAATATATTTATTTATATTGACCCTGTTGAGATATATTGAAAAAAACTTTTTTTTCTATGAATCGATTTTTTTACATACATTATTTTTTATATATACATTATTGGCGTTTTTCATTGTTGGTGATTTTCATTGTTACCTTTTTTTTTTATAGCAATGTTTCTGTTAGCAAAAAAAAAAAAAAAAAAAAAAAAAAAAAAAAAAAAAAAAAATATATATATATATATATATATATATATATATATATATATATATATATAGTTATCTTTTTATTATATATAGATTGTTATGGGCCTGCTTGTTATTGATATTATTTAATATTATATCAATGTTCTTAATGAAATGTGAAATATGAAAAATATAATTATCTTTTAACAATTTTTTGGTTTTCTTTTTATATTTCCGTTTTTATTCGAGATTATTATTAGAAAACATAGGCTGCCATTACACCCTACCTTATATGAAAATATATCAATAAAAGTTTAATTGGCCTTCAGTTTTCACGGCGTTTTGCGCGATGTCAATAGAAGGCCGTGATCTGAAATAAACACCTTTAGCAATACTGATAATAATAACATTTCTGATAATAATAAAATAATACTGATGATAATAACAGTAGTAATTATAACATTACTAGTGAGGTTGATAATAAATTTAATTTAGCTCAATAAATTTTTCTATTTGATCCCATTCTTTTTTTTTGTTTTTATTTTTTTCAAAATGTCTAAAAGAGTAAGCTTTAAGGAAAAAACTTACATTATTTCGGCTAACAGTTTTATTAGGAGTTTACATTTAATGCAGAAGAAATTAAATGAGATATGGATCTGTATGTACCAAAGAAATATTTGTTATAGAACTAAAGAAATATTAGTTACAGAAAAGAAATATTAGTTATAGAACTAGAAAGGTTTTTAAATGTTTGAAATAACCAACTTATAAACAACAAGAATATTCCAAATTTTTTTACGTTCATATGTATGACGAAAAGATTCTTTTTAAAAAAAATTACTGTGATAGGAGAATGGGAACAAGAAACCCTAAAGTCTTAGCCCCCCCTGCCCCAAACGTGAGAGCAACAAGTTGATGAAATATTTTTTCTACTATTTTCAACTAGACTGATATTCATCGAGAAATTTTAAATTTCATAGTAAAATATTTTAGTGTTCAAAAATTATGACCATATGAAGTTTAAACCCCCCTCAATTTGAGGGGGTTTATGTTAAACTTTATGTTAAAGTGCCTTGTTAAATTTAAGAAGTATAGTTTTTCGCCATAACTATCGAAAATTGGTTAAACAAGTAATCAATATAAAACAGCCATTGCAGCATAATCTTTTAAATTTTTTAATTAAATTTTTAATACATCTAGACACTGGCGTAGGAAGGTCTGTAAAGTTTTGGAGGCTGAAACAGAAATTAAGGCATCATGTATATATTTAAATTTATAAAAAATGGTATAAAAAAATATGCATTAGGAATTTCTTTAAATTGCGTAAAAATTGTAAAAAATGTAAGTTTCATAATTACCATTGACAATTTTTCTTATCATAAAGACTAAAATCAAAGCTGTTAATAGTCTCCTTGTCATATCTTTAATGTTGGCTCCACCAATGACACCAAGATAACTAACCTAAATAAATAAATTCACTTTGAACAACATTTACAAATTTTATAAGTATAAATTATATTTGTATATATATTTTTAATTTGTAAAACCATTAATAAAACTTTAATTAAACATCGCCCCTTTATCCGGATTTCGGCCCCATCTGGATTTCGCTTACCAAAAAAAAAAAAAAAAAAACAGAAAAACCGAAATTAGGTACCTAAAGTTCAACACTAATTAGACTAATTACTTATAATTATTTTTTGTTGAAATTTGGCAAGTTCATAGAAAATGCATGAAGCAAACTATTTTAATAATGAAAAAAACGGACTCTACATTTCTTCAACTACAAATCCATGTGACAACATCAACCAAATTTTCTTGCAAAACTCTCAGCAAAATAATCCATAAAAAAGTACGGTAGCTATTACGTACGTAATCTACAGGTAAATGAAAATAAAACCAAGAGATAAGTTAAACAATAAATTTCTTTGTAGTCATTAGCACTTTATATTTTATACATATAAGTTCTGAAACGAAACCGCCATCTTATTTTTGAGCACGTTTCTCCGCTCCTGTTTTGTGACGTATTCCAAATGTTTTTTCTTTAGAAAAATGCCGTGCCACAATAGGGCCGCAAACACAACACCTTCACCAATAAGTTTATTATTATTCATCATCCCGGAATCGTATTGGCCTCTGTCGAAGTCGCCCTGATTTGCGTGTTTCCACTGGTGCAAAACTCGATTCCATCTCGGAGGGAAGTTTGCTAGCCTCGTCTCTTTCTGTGGAACTTTGCACTGCATTGCTGGCTGTCGATTCCTCCGTGGATGGTAGTTCCTTCGCGATAGACGTATTTGGTTGCAGCGAAAACGGGTTTAGTGACAAATTTTTAACTGGTGGTTGAGGGTTAGTGGGTTCCGGAAATGTTATTACGGGATTCGAATCGTATTCCGGTAAATCGGAAAATCGCAGTCGTATTTGATCAATGTGTCGATGAATGACTACGTCGTCGGTAAGGATTTCAAAATTGACTGGTCCCTTCTGCTTTATAATTCGTCCCGGTATCCACTTCGGACCATTTCCGAAATTCTTTGCCATCAACTGGTCTCCACAGTCGAATTTCCTTAAGTGTGCTTTTCTGTTACTGAGCTTTTCAGCTCTTTCTTGCTTTTCTTTCACACTATTATTAAGATCCGGTTTTAGGCCTTGAAACGCACTACGTAATTTTCTTTTCATTAAAAGCTCTGCCGGTGATATTCCGGTGGTCGAATGAGGGGTGATTCGGTATGAAAATAAGAATCGATTCACCGTAGTTTCAATAGAATTGCCTTGTTGAGCGGTCAACTTTTTCATCGCTTCCTTGAATGTTTGCACCATACGTTCGGCTTGCCCGTTCGAAGAAGGATGATACGGGGCTGTGAAAATATGTCTTATTGAATTTCTTTTGACAAATTCAGCAAAAGCAGCACTGCTAAACGAAGTTCCGTTATCACTAACTATTACCTCACGAACCCCATGAATCGCAAATACACTCCTCAATTGCTCGATAAGGTTTTCGGATTTAACGTTTTTCATCACTATTGCCTCAATCCATTTTGAATAAGCATCGCATACGATTAAAAACATGTGTCCTAAAAATGGACCTGCATAATCAAGGTGTATTCTACTCCAGGGTTTACTCGGATATTCCCAATAATGAATTGGCGCACTTTCAGGGCTTCTTTGATGCAATTCACACAAACGGCAGCGGCGCACCGTTTCCTCAATCGATTTGTCCATATTAGGCCACCACACGTAACTCCTTGCTAAAGCTTTCATGCGTACCACACCCGGATGGGCACTGTGCAACTCTTTCAATATCACCTCCTGTAACGATGCGGGTATTACAACCCAGTTTCCCCACATCAGAATTCCTCCTTCGACTCCTAACTCATATTTTCTCGCTATAAAAGGTTTAAATCCTGTTTCATTGGGAAGCTGCAATCCACTAAGAACACCATCTAACACCCGACTTATGATTGGGTCTCGTGCTGATTGGATTTTTACATCTTTGGCTGAGACTGGTGTGCTGGATAGTTCCATCATTAATATTACATTCTCTGCGACTGATGACTCAGTGTTTTTAATCGGCAACCTGCTCATGCAGTCAGCATTTCCATGTGTAGCCCCGCTACGGTATTTCAAACAATAGTTGTAAGCAGAAAGGGTTAACGCCCAACGCTGAATCCTTGCAGCAGTCATGGCTGGAATAGGTTTTCCCTCAGCCAATAAACCCAACAAAGGCTTGTGATCCGTCACTAGAGTAAAATATCTCCCATATAAATACTGATGCAGCTTCTTTACGGCAAATACAATAGATAATGCTTCTTTCTCAATTTGAGAATAATTTCGTTCAGCTGCAGATAGCGTTCTAGATATGTAAGTAATCGGTCTTTCACTCCCCTCAGATGTGACATGTGCCAGCACTGCTCCGATTCCATAAGGTGATGCGTCGCAAGACAAGATTAGCTCCTTTTTTGGATCATAATGCATCAACAATTTAGGTGAACATAATTCCGCTTTGGCTCTGTCAAAGGCTGTCTGTTCTTTCATGCCCCACAACCAAAGAATGCCTTTTCTCAGAAGTCTATGGAGTGGCTCTACGATCGTTGCTAGGTTTGGTAAATGTCTGTGGTAATAGTTGATCATGCCAAGGAACGATTTTACCTGGGTAGTGTCTTTAGGTTCAGGAGCATTCCTGATAGCGTTAAGTTTGTCCTCAAGCGGTACCACTCCATCCTTTGTTAACTTAAAACCCAGATATTCAACTTCGGGTGACATGAATACACATTTGTTTTCTTTCAATTTTAGTCCTGCTTTTTCCAGTATATGTAAAACCGTTTCAACGTTTTTTAAATGCTCCTCATCCGACCGTCCTGAGACTAAAATGTCATCAACTCGAACTTTGGTAAATGGTAAATTGCCAATCAGCTTCTCAATTTCTCGTTGAAAAATTCCGGATGCTGAGTGTACTCCAAATTGTAATCGTATAGGTTCAAAAAGACCTCGATGGGTGTTTACTGTCAATAATTCACAGGAACTTTTGTCAAGAAGTAATTGCTGATAGGCAAATGCTAAGTCCAGTTTAGTGAATTTCTGTCCACCGGCCAAAGTTGCAAATAAATCTTCTGTCCTCGGTAGGGGATAACTATCGCACATAGCTGCCTGATTTACGGTCTGTTTATAGTCTCCACATAATCGAATAGTGCCATCTTTTTTTAGGACTGGCACAATTGGGGCTGCCCAACGGGAATGACTTACCGGTCTGTAGATGCCTGAAGATATCAACCGATCAAGTTCTGCATTCAAATACTTTTTCCAATAAGGCATATGGTATAGGTCGTGCTCTGCAAAACTTCGGTTTTACATTAGGCAGCAAAGGTATGTGTACCACTGTATCCTTAAATAGCCCCAGCACATTTCGGAACACTGCGGAATGCTTTTTAACTAAAGTATTTATCATTGATGCATTGGGACTTTTTGGGATTTCTGAGCTTGCATGAAATATTTTTTCCCAATTAATTTTAAGTTTTCTCAGCCAATTTCTGCCAATCAATGAAGGTCCTTTACCTGGAGTGATTATTAAAGCTAATAAATTAGTCTGCCCATTGATTCTGACAGAAAGCTTAACTTCCCCTACTGGTAACACTACTTCCCCAGTGAATGTTCGCAAAAAAGATTTTGTTGGAATAACTTCTTTCCTTGTGAGTCCCTTTTTTTTCAAGCTTGTAAATGTTTCTAGACTCATTACTGACACCGACGCTCCAGTGTCAAGCTCCATTTTTGTACTAATACCTTCGATTTCCACTTTAATCATAATTGGTTTCCTTTTATTCGACTTGCTTTGAATGCGATATAGCTCTTCTTCATTTTGATTTCCATTAATCTCTTCTATTTTGTGTTGGGTTCTTGTATTTTTCAACCCTTTTTTCTTTTTACGACATTTCTTTGTTGTGTGCCCCTTGTTGTGGCAAAAAAAACATTCCTGATCTTTGAAAAAACATGTCTCTGGATTATGTTTACCTCCGCAACGAAAACATTCACGTTCAATATGCCTTTCCGACTTGATTTCAACTTTATTGATTGCTGCTGGACTAGTAACATTTTGATGGCTTTGAATTATTGCTGCTTGATTTGCTGCTGCTTCCATAGTAAGTACAATATCTAATTTTTTTTGTAAAGAAAGATTAGATCCTTCACTTAGTAGTCTCCTTTGTATTCGAGAGTCGTTAATCCCACACACTATTTAAATAGTGTGTGGGATTAACGACTGATGAAATGATGCGTCTCGCATCATTTCATCCAGTGTATTTTCATAGGCACAATGGGTGGTTAAAGCTCTGAGATCAGCAATAAATGTTGCTACTGACTCACTAGTGTCTCTATTTCTTGAATTAAACTTGAAACGTTCTGCTATTGGATTTGGGGTTGGGCTCTTGTGGGTGCTCATCAACCGGCGCTACTCGACTTTCTCCCCCCCCCCCCCTGTTTTTATGATTGATTTTTATAGAGTATATTATACTGATTTTAAATCATATAAAAACATAGGTCTGAAAACTTGAGGAAAGTACTCTAATTTGATGTTAAAGTATAAAAATCCACATTAAAAACGCTAATATTAGCCATCTTTGTCATACTCGGTTATAATAAAATTCCTTTTCAATAAAAACTTTGAAAAACCCTGGTTTCTATCGACGCTTCAATTTAAAACGCATTTTTTATTGATTTCCTGCCCCAACCAAACCCTGACCAAAATCATGTACATTTATTTACGCCAATTCCTATTTGTCAGTTGATGTATGTATATTTAATCGCGCCAATTCCTATTTGTCAGTCGATACATGTACATTTAGTTGCGCCAATTCCTATTTGTCAGTCGATGCATGTACATTTAGTTGCGCCTATTCCTATATGTCAGTTGATGTATGTACATCATAAAATATAAAAACAACAATAAAAACCGGGTCGTTAGTTAAAAAATTAATTACCTAAATTTTAAAAACAGTGTTAAAATGTTTTTAAAAAGATGGTGGAATATTAGCGTTTTTTAATGTGGATTTTTATACTTTAACATCAGTTTAGAGTACTTTCCTCAAGTTTTCAGACCTATGTTTTTATATGATTTAGAATCAGTATAATATACTCTATAAAAATCAATCATAAAAACAGGGGGGGGGGGGGGAGAAAGTCGAGTAGCGCCCATCAACCTGCATAACTCAGTGTATGATCTATCGCTTGTTTTTCCCGGTGCTACCAAAGACTTAAACAACTTGTATGTTGCATGCCCATATGAACTCAAAAGGATGGCTCTCTGTTGCTCCTCATTAACAATGTCGTTAGCAATAAAGAAAAAATCTAGTCTCTCGACATAATTATCCCAATCCTCATTTGAGTTGAATTCTGATAAATTTCCGAAATGCGAAGCCATCACAATAACAACTTATTAATTTGTACTACTCATAATAATAACCATTAAACAAAATCACCAATAATTAAACCACTAAATAATGTAACAAATTTATCTTCGTCGCCAAAATATTACGTACGTAATCTACAGGTAAATGAAAATAAAACCAAGAGATAAGTTAAACAATAAATTTCTTTGTAGTCATTAGCACTTTATATTTTATACATATAAGTTCTGAAACGAAACCGCCATCTTATTTTTGAGCACGTTTCTCCGCTCCTGTTTTGTGACGTATTCCAAATGTTTTTTCTTTAGAAAAATGCCGTGCCACAATAGGCCCGCAAACACAACAGTAGCAATACATAATAGTAATATAAAAATCAAGCCCAACCTTAGTTTCTTCTTTTCAAAAGATGACAAAGTTTATATATGTTTCTAAAAAGAACCACCTCAAAAAACCACTTGCCTAGGGCTACCTAAAAAAGTGGTATACTTGGTATAACAATAATTGCTTTTTTTTTTCATTGAAATTTGGCATGTGCAAAGAAAATGCATGAAACAAACTATTTAAATAATAAAAAAGCTGACTTTACATTTCTTCGACCACAAGTTCATATGAGAACATAAACCTTCAAGAGCAATAAAATTCAGGAGCAAAATATCCTATAAAAAAAGTTAGGAACCATACTTAAAAGTCTTTAAAAAATCAAGTAAAAAACGTAAACCTAATAAAAAAAAAATAGTTCACTTCCATTGTTTATATTTATAATGCTTAAACGTAAAAATATTCTTTAAAAAAACGTAAAAAATGCAACTACAAAAAAGTATATGTAATTTACATATATTTTTTTGTAGTTGCTTATTTTTTATTACGTTTTAATTACGTTTACATTGTAAACGTAATTAAAACGTAATAATAAAAAAAAAGTAATAAATTAAGTATTTTGATCAAAAGTTTGCCAAGAATTTTTCTTGCACAGTTTTTACCAAAAATGCAGACCATAAGTAACATTTTTTTACCAACTATTAAAAAAATATTTTTAACGGCGTAATAAACTAATAAATTAAAAAACTAAAAAAAAACTATTTACTCTAGCCATAATTACTATGTTTAAATATTTTCATTGTGTACATTATTTATTAAGTATAAGTAAGTTTTTGCAACAAAAAAATAAAAAAAATAATAAAAAAAAAATTAAACTAAAAATAATTGGATAATATTAAGCTAATTAATTTACAATAACTGTTTAGTAGTTTAAAAATTAACACGAGAATACTAGCAAACGTTGGCCCGACGTCGGGCCGACGTGTTATATTTGGCTAGAAAATTTACTACGGCATAACTATGTTTTAAATGTGCATTGTAGTTTTCTGCGCTTTGTTTATTCAAGCTAAGCGCAGAAAACCACAACACACATTTAAAACATTGCATTTTCTACGTTATGCCGACGTAATTTTTCTAGCTGAAATTTTAACCGATGTCTATGCAATTTGAAGGTTAATCTTGCATTTTAACTTTTATAAAAAGGCAGTTTTAAAATAGCTAAATTTACACGTCTTTTGAAATTTTTACAACTTTTTTAAAGTTTTGTGCATCTTTTACTTGACTTTAATGAATAGTTTATTTCATTTTTTAAAATAAATAGTATTATCGGCAAAGCCGTTTACCAAAGTCTAAGAAAGAGAGGAAAAATCGAAGCCATGCTAAAACAAAATACTATATCTCAAAGAAATATCGTCGAGTAAGTTAAAAATTGCCAATAAGCAGTTCATACTTTCAAGAAAAGATTTGATAAATGATCTAATATTGCCAGAAACTAATAATAACTGCATATGCAAAGCAAAATAACTGAATATTTAAAACCTGAATCATAAATATAACCCGAAAATTAAAATCAATCAAAACCATGTTTATAAAAAATCAGCAATCTTTTCTAATGAATATGGTTATAATCTTTGAACTCAGATTAGAGGATTCTTTTATTTAAAGATGTTTCAGTGATAAATCGCTTTAATCTCTTGCTAAAACAAAAACATTTTTTTTCGTCGGTGGTTAGTTAGCTTACCTCATATGTATTTAAATTAAAATTTATGAATGATTGTCAAAAATAAAATAACAGCAAAATCACTCTGATTAAAGCACTAATCTTTGGGTAACATAACTCTGAAATCAAATATGGCCAAAACTTATAATTACCCTATCAAATGTAACTAGATTACAGTAAACAGGTAATTTATACATAATGCGCTTCAAAATTTTGATTTGAGTAGCATTTTTAATAAGTTTGTTAACTGAATCTTAATAAACCATTGTTTTATACATTTTTTAAATTTTTGGTTCAATTATATTTCACACCAAAGTTAAAGTTGACTTTGCTATTTGATAATAAATGCACACAGCAACATTTCTATGTCGATTATAGATTTTTTTATTTTTTCTATATGAGTTCTTGAACTAATCAATCAATTGAAAAAACAAACATGTATTTTATTTTTTGATTTTAATTTTGATTTTTTTTTTACACATTTTAATAAATCGTTTTATAATAAAATAGTTAAAATTAAATGCTATAAAAAATAATTTAAAGATAAAACAAATATACAAGTATTTTAAAGAAAGAACGATACTCACAATTTGTGAGTATCAGCGAATCACAAAAGACTAATCAGGGTTGTCATTTAGAACCGTACGTAAAGCTTAAACCTCCGAAAATTCCAATACAAACAAAAATATATAAAATAATATAGCAAGTTATTAAACGTTTAAAATTATGAAAATATATCATCAAGAGACAAAATGATTTCTTAAAGTTTTTTACTTCTTGAGAAGATTCCATTGAAAAGGAAAATCAAAATTTTTTAAAACTATTCGGTTTTCAAAGAGAATAAAATGCTTGATTTTCCAAAATTAATTTTGAAAAATGTTTGTTGAATTAAATTATTGTTTCTTAAACTGTATTTAACTTTATCTTTTAATTTATATAAATTGTAGAATAAAACTGAGGAGGAGTTAGTTTTATATATGTACATAAAAAAATTTGTATTAAAAACATTGAGCACATATTAAAAAATATATATTTAGAGTTTTCATTTCAAATAAAAGGTATGAGTAAATCTGTTTTTTAAGTTGATAAGGCAAGCCAATATACTTCTTTTGTAGACAATAAAGAGGCTTTAGTTTAGATTAATCCGCATTACACCAAATAATATTTGCATAGTTTAAATGACAACCGATAAATGAGAGTTCTAACTCAGTCCTAACTCAGTTATATTTTTCATTTATCCATTTTCATTTAAACTATGATAAATGTTGTTCGTCTTATTAATTTAAAAGACAGATTTATTCATGCTGAGTCTCTTTTATTTGAAATGAAAATATCTAATATATACGTTTACATTACAATATTCCTATACTTTTAGCAACTTCATTACACAAATATTCAGTGTGGTATTTTCAACAAAGGTTTTCATTGGAAAAAAATTTCCAAAATATTTGTACTAGTTACTCTTTTTTTGATGTACCATTACATTTTATCAATGTAATGGTACATCAAAACTTTATTTTAATGGATGGATAGAATTTTTGCTAATTCAAAACAAAGTGCTTTCACAGTGGGCACGCATTGTCAGGTGGACGTCCAGACGTCGTACTCAGGACGACGCATGGCCACTGGGCTTCAGATTAAAAAAAAGGTTAATATCATCAGCAAAAATGGCTGCTGAAAAATTAAGCTTTATAAAGATCATTAAGTAAGAAAGAGAAGGGGTCTAAGTGCAGAGCCCTGAGGTACTTCAGGTACTAAGCCCTGAGGTTGTATTTAATAAACTAGCACGATCATTTTCATTATTATTAAAAAACTGTTTTTGGTTTTTTAAATAACTTTTAAGTAACAATTTCTTTAATTCCATGATACTTCATTTTTTGAAGGAGAATTTTATAATCAAAAGCTTTTGAAAAATCATTGAAAACGTTTATTGGAAATTTTCAAAAGATTTAGCAATACTGCGAATAATTTGGAGTATTGCGTTTTCTATTGAGTTGTTTTTTTTTTGAATCCGTATTGATTGATATATAGTATATTAATTAAAGATAAGTGATTATAAACTACATTCTATTAAATTCTCTTTTTTATTTTATGTTTTTTAAGTCTCTAAAACTTAAGAAACAAAAAACAAAACAGAGATTAGCCGATAAATAGTAACACTATTATACATAAAGCAGTGAATGATTCAGTCATCCTTGTAGGTGTATTAATTATAGGAAATGCACTATGTTTAAATACATCATTATAAAACTTTTTTATTTCAGAGTTAATGAGGTATCGAAAAAAATCCAAATTAATGTAATCTTTTAAGTATTAAAACTTTCTTTCTCGGATGTTTTTTCAAAAAACATCAATTAAAAATACATTGAAGTTTTTCATTTGACCAGAAGGTGATCGAACCTCTTTGTCGTCATCAAAAATACTTATGTCAGGCGTCATAATAAACCTCAAACAATCATTAATATAAATTAGTAAACTGCCGCCTCGCTTTCTATTTTGTCGCTCTAATAAAATTTAGGTAAAGAATTATTTATGTTAGAATTTACGTTATCAAACCTACAGCATTTTTCAAGCATGCAAATTAAACTAAAAAAACTAAAATGTTCTTGTTGTATTTATAGTTTTTTAATTGGCTTTTTATTTTAATATGTAATGTTAAAATTATTAGAATTAACAAAATTAATAAACAAGCATATCAGTGGCGGATTCAGCATAGGGATTGGGGGAAAATTGTTCATTAATCATAAATTTTAAATTGGAAAGGTCCCCACAGAGGGCAAAAGGGTCAGTTTTTGCTTTGTTATTAGAAAAACCTTGCTGAACCAATTTTTTTTGCTTTTGTTTTTGTTCTTTTCAACATTTCAGTAAATCGTTAAACAAACAAATCGTTAACATTTTAGTAAATCGTTGTACAACCAAATCGCTAATATTTAAATAATAAAATTGTACATTAAGAACTAAGTAAAAGATATAATAGTTATACAGGTATTTAATTTTATAAATAGAACGCGGAGACTCTCAATAGATCATAATCAAATATAATTGTATATCCCTATTAAAACTTGACAGCATAAATACATCAAATTTTACATGAAACTATTAAACGTTTAAAAATATAAAAATATATTATCCAGAGATAAAATAATTTCTTTTTGAATTTTGTTTAAATAAAGACTAAAAAAGATTTTGAATAAAATAAAAAATAAATTTTTCATTTATAAAATTAAAATATAATTTTATATGATTATTTTATCTAACATATTTATATGTAAACATTTAATTTTAGATTAACATAAAATATTAATAATTTATATGATGCCATCTAAAAAGAAAATTGAAAGAATTGATACTTTTCTAGTGGGAAAAATATATTGTACTTTTCCCAACAATAAATTTGCGATTACACAAGAAATTCTTCAATATTACAACTTTCTGAAAAAATCTAAATTTGAAGTTAAACTAAGTTTTATTCTAGGATGTACAAACACAAATGGATCATTCTCACCAAATTGACCAGTCAGTTACATTGCTGCAAAATATCTAAACTTGTAGTTCCATGGACACGATCAAACTGTATAACCTTATTAAAACACAGAAATATATTTTTAAGTTTTTATA